ACATACTTTGGACATGTTGTGAGGAGAGACCGGTCCTTAGAGAGGGACATCATGCTTGGGAGGGTGGAGGGACAGCACAGGAGAGGAAGGCCCTCTATGAGGTGGATTGATTCAGTGACTGGGGTAATTGGGATGGGTGTGTCAGAGACAGTGCGATTGGCACAGGACAGAGCGGAGTTTAGGGCTGTTGTACATAGGGTCGCTATGAGTCGCAGGCAACTCGACGGCACATAACAACAACAACAACAGTCTATAGAAACAATCAAAGACATTGATCAAATCATCAAAAATGAAAAATGATCAATAGTTCAAATTTATCACAAGCTTCTTTGGATAAAGATAGACATTCTCCTCAGTGTTATTTATCATCTAAAAAAGCAAAACAAAGCAACCAAACAAACAAAAAACCCAACAAAACACCGAACCGTCAAAACAAAAAACCAACACTGGTTCCAATGCAACTGTTTAAAAATAAATGATTAGGCATTATAAGTATGAAACGGCCCTAAATAAGAGGTACATTGGAAGAGAACTGGAGGGAGGGAGAAAATTGTACAACAATGAACAAGTATTTAAAAAAAAAAAAAAAGGTCAACTGGGGCAGGGGAGAAGGGGCAAAATTGGTGACAGTGAATGAAGGAAAATCTAACTTCTGTAAACTTCTGTTAAAATCCCAATAAAAGTTTAAAGAATATTTTTAAAAAACAACACTGGAGGAAAAACAAGCTAGGAGGAAGTTCCAACTCGATGACAATGAGTTTGAGTTTTGAAAGATAACCATAGCTAATATTTTTTAGTGTTCCTATGTTTGTTGTTATTACATTTCATCAAGTCAGAACTGGCTCAGAGCTGACTGTCCAGCAGGTTTTCAGTGTCTGTAAATCTCATGGGCAGAGATTGCCCATCTTGCTCTTGTGGAGAAGCTCGTAGATTTGAACCACTTGCTTTTGGTAGGCAGCACAACTCCTTACTAGGCCAGCAGATTTCTCAATTCCGTACAGGTACAGCAATTTATAAGCACAATATGCACCCCAAGTTCTGGGATCCTTGCAGTCCTCCTTTGATTTTCAGTACTGTTCTCTTCTTCACATTATGTTTAGAATTTGGCAATGCTTTCTGACAACAAATGCAAAAATAGCCCAACATACTCTCTTACATAATTTAAGGGTAAAAAATGTTAAGGACAAACTATTTACAATAAGAACATAAAATATGACAGAAGCTTGAGCAAGAAAGGATTCGTCTAGCATCCATCGCATATGTTATACAGAAAGGGATTGTGTGAAACACTGAAAAATACATACTACTGTGGAAGGCAACATCCTAAATTCATGTGTAGGGTTTTATTCTGAGCCATAAGAAAAAACCTGAATAGGCAACATGTGGCCATCTCAAAGTCTTTGTCATATTTGGAACACAGGCAGAGATCAATAGTTCCATACTTCATACATACATAGCATCCCACCACAGTATTCACAGGTACTTTTCTCTTTGAAAAAATGCTGGTGTTTTTCCATTACATGAGTCAAAGCAAAAGGGAATTCATTTATCCTTGTCTTTTTTACAATTGGGATTTCCTTGGGTGAGAAAATGGTTATATTTATAAGATTACAAGTTGTTGTTCATTTTCATCATTAAAAAGGATGTTCGATTTTGTTTTGCAATGCACTTTTAATTTTTTTTAATTGCTGTTATTTGCTCTGTAGAGCCTTGATTTCCATTCTTTTGATGAAACTGTTCAAGGTCATCATACCTCCCCATCCATCAGTCAAGCTTCACAGATTTCCATTGTCAGTGGTACTTATTAGTATGATGAATGTGTCAGGGTTCATGTCGGGAATTTGAATGGGTAACTATTGTTACATCTGTTGGAATGTAAATTCAAAAGCATTGAAGTTTTCTGAGAAAGGAGAGGAATGCATGCCAGATGCACTTATTATGAACAACAGAAGTTGGTAATATGTTGGCATGAATTGACTCCACACTGCAATGCTCTCTCTAGACACAAGCAAGGGGTTAGAGAGAGAAATTAGTTCTTTAAGTGATTATATGGCAGCATTAGGCAGCAGCCCTGTGGTTTGAGAGTAAAGATTGTATTGTCCTTGTGCTGAAAGCTTCATCAACAGAAGCATGAAAACTCATGATCTATTTACTTAACCTTCACATATATGTCCTAACAGGTAGTAGTAACTATTTTTTTAATTAATTTTAATGAAAGTTTACAGAGACTTAGGGTTTCCATTCATTCATTGTTGCACTTTTCTCCCTGCCCACCACCTCCCCCCAATTCACTCTTCTCCTTGAGAAGTAAAAGAAAAGCTCATTGTTACACAATCCCTCCCCCCAAGTGCACTCCACTGTGCAGCATTCATTCTGAACTCCTGTCATGACAATAATACCCAATCATATACCCCTTTTAAACAGTTCTTTCCCTCATTTATTTCAGTACAGAATACATCATTCCTCTCTTCCTTCTCTGTCTTCCCTCAACCCTGATGTCAGTCCTGTTTTACAACAATGGCCCTATGTAGTATTTGCCCTTTTGTGACTGAGATATTTCACTCAACATAATATCCTCATGGTCACCAATTTTGCATAATATTTCATGAGTTTCTTTTTTTTCAATGCTGCATAGTATTACATTGTGTGAATATACCACAGCTTCTCTATTCATTCATTTGTTGATGGACACTTGGGTTGTTTCCAGCTCTTTGCTATTGCGAACAAAGTCGTGATAAACATGGGTGTGCATATATCTGCTTGGGTGGCAGTTATGGTTTCTTTAGGGTAAATTCCCAGTAGCGGAATTCCTGGGTCAAATGGTATTTCTATTTGTAGCTTTTTGAAAAAGTGCCATACAGCCTTTCATAGTGGTTGCACCATTTTACTCTCCCAACAACAATGAGTAAGGGCTCCAGTGTCTCCACAACCTCGTCAGCATTTGATGTTTGCTGTTCTATTAAATTTTGCTATTCTTTCTGGGGTGAGAATATATCTCATAGTTGTTTTGATTTGCATCTCTCTTAGAGCTAAGGATTTTGAACATTTCTTCATGTGCTTGTTTGCCATCTGAATGTCTTCTTTTTTGAAGTGTCTGTTCATATCCTGTGCACATTTTTAATTGTGTTATTTACCTTTATCTTGTTGTGGTGAAGCAGTAGTAACTATTTAGGTATTTTGAAAAAAAATGTTTACTAGTTAACTAAGCAAGTTACTTAGTTGTACTCATCTGAAGATACATATTCTTTTAAAGCAGCCCTGGTCAGCCATTCCCTATGGGGCTGTTCTACTCTGTCTTATAAGTTCACTGAAACAGAGTTGGTTCAATGGTAATGGGTTTTTTTCTTGGCTTTGTTTTTGGTTCTTTCTTTATGAAAAGAAGCCCTGGTTAGTAGTCATGTCTAGATACTAATCAAAAAGTTGGTTGTTCAAATCCACCAGCAGCCCTGAGGGGGAAAAACGGACAGTTTCCCCTCATTAAGATTTACCTCAGAAATCTGATAGAGGGTCGCAGTGAGTCCTCTCATTAAGATTTACCTCAGATATCTGGATGAGGGTAGGCATGAGACAGAATCTACTTGGCACCAAAATCAACTTGGTTTTGAGTGTTGGTTTTTCTTATTAAAGGATCCTTGGCAAGGTACTGGTTAAGTACATAGTTGCAAACCAAAAGGTTCATAGCTCAAAACCAACACAGAGGTTTGATAAGAGACAAGACTCTACAATCTGTTCTCACAGAGTACAGCCCAGAATACCAGGCAGTTCAGCACTGTTACTTCGTGGCGATAAATCAAATCCACCTTAACAAATCTAATGATGTTTTCTGGTGAGAATTACCCACAGGGTTTTCATTGGCTGCTTCTTTTGGAAATGAATTTTTCAGAACTTTCTTCCTAGTCTTTCTTAGTCTGGAACCTCTGCTGGAACCTTCTCAGCATCGGAACAACATGCAAGCCTCCACTGGCACATCGGCTGCAATTTTGAAGGAGGGGTGTTGATCCAGCTGTGCGCCTTGGTCTCCTACATGGAATTTTATCACTGAATCACAACAACTACCAATGTAAGTAAAGTGGATATTTAATATTTTAAAAATCAAAGAACATCAAATACATTTTCAATTATCACCTGAAACCCTACTGACTAAAGATAACTCCTTGTCACGGTGTAGAAATAGATGGAAGGGAAACATACTGAACTGTCACATGTCAAAATGAATTCAGTTTTTCTAGAAATAGCAAATACTAAGGGGTGTATTTTTACGTCAGTATATTCTGTTTTAATAAGTCATTCTGACATAATTGGTTATAAATTTGGGGAAAAACATGTTCTCAATTTCTTTTACACATGTGTAAATGTCAAATATATCAAAGATTGCTTTGAAAGTGAAACCGTGAAACACTTTAGCATTTTAAAATATTAGTTTTAGAGGCCTTTAAAAATATATCAGAAACTAGAAATTAAAAAAAGAAAGGATTCTACTTGACTGATCAGAACAGAAGCTTCTGTGTATTAAATAAACAAGCAAAATCACTATGAAGTTACAGATACATTTAAAAGAACAAGAAAAATTACAGGAAACTGCAATGAATGATAAGAGTTAATTCTATAATTTTCTAAAAGTGCTTATGTATAATGATTACAAAATAGAAGACAAAAATCAAACACTAAGTTAACACAAATGCTATTTCCTCAAGGGGGAAATTTTAATAAACATACACGTTGCCAGTATTCCAAATAACAACAGGCATTTGCTTTAGTAATATTCAAGGAAATTTAGCACAGTGAGAAAATAAAAAAGATTTAATTGTCATTAAGTCAACAATAGTTGTTTTATTCTTCCAATTTACATGACTATCTATCAACAGATAATACAATATGGAAGTCCAATAAATTACTATACTTTCACTTATATCAGGTATGCAACACAACTGCAATTTTAATATAAAAATAAGTGATCAATGATGTTGAAAATAAAATTTTGCAATATATTCTGATAGCCTTTATACCTCAACTACTATGAAACTCAGATTATTGTTAAACAAAATCTTTCCCTCTTTTTGTACACTGAATTCTGGCTCTTGTAGATCTTTCATAATTTCTGATTTGAGATCAGGGGGTGCTGTTGTGCTGAAGTTGCAGGTTTCTGTTAAAAAATCCCAGAGCAGATCTCCATTCTCATTGCCATCTATGAAACAGTCAGATATGTCCATGGTGGACAGAAGGTCGTAACACTTATACTTAATCCCCAAGTTGTCCAGTATCTGAGTGAGGTCTGATGATGTGACATACTGGCATAGATCATTCTTGGGTAACCGGGATTCATACTTTTTCCACAGCTTGTCCCAGCCACTGGTTCCTGTGTGAGAGAATAAATATCATGCTTTAATTTATGCTTTCTTCATCTGTGAGGAAAACACTGGATGTTTTCATATTCATTTCATTATTCAAACAATAATCTTATGACACACAATTAAAGGACCTGAAGAACAGAGACAATTAAACAAATGAGCAAACAAACAAATAAATAAATCTATCACATGATGGTGGTGGTTGTTGTTAAATGCCATCAAGTTGAGCCCTACTCATAGAGACCCTATGAACAAAAGGCCCGAACCTGGTTCTATAACTTTTGCCATTTCACTCGATTCATAGAGTTCCCAGAGGTATGTTGTTTAGGAAGTGGATGCCACTCCTGCTTCCAAGCCTTTCTTAATTTGGAATGGTCTTTGAAATTACTTGCTGTGCATCAGAGAGTTTGACAATGACTAGGGAGGATAGAAGGAGAATTGACGTCTTTGAGCTGTGGTGTTGGAAAAGAGTATTGAATATACCATGGGCTGCTAAGAAAATGAAGAGGTTCATCCTAGAGAGGATTAAACCAGGCTGTTCCTTGGGAGCAAAGTTCTGAAGCTTTGTCTGACAAACTTTGGACATGTTGCAAGGAGGGACTAGTCCTTGGAGAAAGATGTCATGCTTGTGAGGGTGGAGGGACAGCGCAGGAAAGGAAGACCCTCTATGAGGTGGTTGATTTAGTGACTGGAGTAACGGGGGCAGGTGTGTCAAAGACAGTGATATTGACACAGGATAGAGCAGGTTTTAGGGCTGTTATACATAGGGTTGCTATGAGTCATAGGCGACTCGATGGCACATAACAACAGCCACCAAACACTGTCCACCACGGATAACCATTGTGGCATTTGGCACACCAGTGGCACAGCGCTCAGTATCACAGCAACCCCAAGTTATTTCAGCACAGGGAATTGACAGACCAGTGCTGTACCACTTAGAAGAATGCTCATTCCAAACACAATTAATATCAGGCCAGAAAGGAGCAGGCCTGAGGGCCCAACAAACTTTGAAATACACAGACCCACCCATCAGGTTCTGATTGGCTTTAAACAAGACGGTTCCAGCTCACAGCTCATTGTTGGCCAAACCCAGCAAATCCAGTCAGCTTACACATGGTTTTAAACAAAATAAAAGCAACTAAATAGTCCACACTCAACCCTCAACCAAAACAAGAAGAACTACCTTCCAGAATCCAACTGCTTCACATATGAGCCTCCAAACTGGAGACCTAGTTGGGGCCCCAGCCAACTTTTAAATATACAAGCCCACCCATGAGGTCCTGATTGGCTCTAAACAAGAGGCTTCCAGCCCACAGCTCATTGTCAGCCAAATCCAGCAAATCCAATCAGCTCACACACGGCTGTGAACAAAATAAAAACAACCAAACACTCCACTCCACACCTGACTCTCAATCAAAACAAGAAGAACCCACCTTCCAGGATTCAACTGCTTCACACATGAGTAGTAAGTGTTAATAAAAACAAACCAGGGTAAAAGGATGAGAGTATGGGGTTAGATGGGCTGTTATTTAATATAAGATGATCATAGACAGTCTCATTAACAATGTGACATTGAGTAGAGACCCCAAATTAAGCCATGTAGACAAAAAAAAGAGAAGAGTATTTCATGCAGGAAAAAACTTAGCAAGTGTATGAAATAGCCAGGAAGCCAGTGAGATTGGAGGTGAGTGAGCATGCGGGGGAGTAAAAAGAGATAAGGTTGTGTGAGTGGTAGAGAATAAACTGGGTACCAGTTAGGTAGCAACATTGCTGTATTAGTTGAAATACTATAAAAGAGACCATTTTAAACTGATGGAAATGCACTATATCTGCATTGTCCAATATAGTAGTCACTAATCATTTCGCCAAGATAGCTCTGATGGCTGAGTGGGTTATGATTTGCACTTCCAACTTGAAGGCAGGTGAGATGATTCAAATCTACCAGCTGCTCTGTGACAGAAAGATGGCCAGTTTCCCCCTGTGCAATTTACAGTCTCTGAAAACCCACCAGAGGTTCCACTATAAAGCAATTCCAACTGGATGACAATGAGTTTGAGGTTGTTGTAAGTTTCTTGCTCACAGAGTAAATGAAATGTGGTTAGTGTAACTGAGGATGAAGAATTAAATTATTTTTTTAAATAAATTTAAGTTCAAATAGCCACATGTGGATCTTTATTGTACAGCATAACATTAGAGTGACATAACCTGATATGTCTTAATAGAGGCAGTCTGAAAAAAAAAATAGAGGCAGTCTGGCCACACTGATAGGAATAGACTATCAGGGATAAAGACAGAAGCAGGAAGCACAGTGAGAAGGTGATTGCACTAACCTGGTTGATACAGACAGTAACTTTGGTCTTGGTGTTGAGAAGTAGCTGGAATACTGACTATTTGCATATTATACTTCTTTATTTTTGAATTTTTAAATTTTATTTAAATTT